TTAAATTATTTCCCAACAAAATGGCATCTGCAAAATGCATAAAAGCTGAGAAGAATTAACTCAGAAGCTGAGTTAATATGCCAACACATTTTTGTTTGTGAAACTGAAAATCATGCTTGAGTTATGGATTAAATTGGACCTTAAAAAAACGTGGTGCCCTCACTGCAAAGCAAGGTTTGAGTATCTCAGTAGTGATGATCAGGGAAGTAATCAGAGACACAAAACCAGGTATTAGAAGAGCTGGTTTACAACTGTCCCATAGGTTTGTAACTAATTTCCTCCACAAACAAATCTATTTTCATTTTAGTTTGATCCAGCCACAAATAACATTCACTGGATATTACACGGAATTACTAGAATAGTTGGTTGGTTTTTTTTTCCCCCCCTGAACATTTGGAACCATTTCTCCTCCTTTTCCATCCCTCTAAGATTTAACAGCTTGCCCTTCACTTCAGACTACAGCAGAGCACAGAAACAGGACAGATGTTTCAAACACAGGTGATGAGGTCATACCTCCTTCCGAGCTGTATTCCAGGCTGTCCTACGCGTATGGAAAACAGATTTGATGAGACATCAGGTTCATACTCCTCCTGAGGACGTTCAGGACAAACTCTCACTGATCTGTGTCTCACACACATTTACCTTCTAACCTTCCAGGCCCAACAGCAGCGAGCTGCTACTGCGCAGCACTGAAATCTGCCGTATTTTCTCCATCACCATGGCAATTTTCCAAGAATATCCTTTCTGATCACGGATTCGCATACTCTCGTATGATCATTATCCATACCAGGATGCTCTTCTAAAGCTTACTTGGTGAGCTACCTCCACAGTCCTGTCTGTGACCTGTCCCAGACCTCAGAGCTACCACAAAGCCCAGGGCAGCAAGGTCAGGGGAGAAGTTCATGAAAAAGATGATGAAATCACCGCTCCGTACAAACACCTCACCGAGCAGCAGAAAAACGTGTCATTAATGTGATTCCCACCCCCCTCTCTATATGCAACTCAACAGTTACGGATGGGTCTCACCACACCACTTTGATTCCAAACTTCCCGGGAAGACACTGTGTGTGCAACTAGAGAAGATGCCAAGTTTCTTTTTGGAAAATGTTACGTAGCAGAAGCAGTTCTGCACTGATACTACACGAGTGATTTACACTGGGTAGCTTTTTTTCTGCTAAACCTATCGTACACGCTGTTTGTTCTGGATTCTCCTGCTGTTTCTCACTTACCTACAGATACTGAGTGACCCACATGCTGCTAACTGTTATTCATTTTTTGTCCATTGAGCAGAACAAATTGTCAGCTCTCCAGGAATACGTATGATCACATTTTAGATTTTAAAGTGCAATAACTTTTTAATTTCAGAACTGAGGCTGTTAGTTGGAGATCATTTGCCTGGTGTCATTTTAATTAATTTCTAAATTGGAGAAGCACTGGCTGTGCGGATGTACAAAACGGAATGTCTACAACGCAGAATCAAGGAATGTCAAAAAACTGAAATGTTCCTGTTCTACCTCTTTGTACCCCACGTGTATTTCTGAGCACTGTGGCACTATGTCAGCAGGACACACACTGAACACCTCCTGGGATGCAGAACACCGAAGCTCAAAGGAAGAAAAGGATGGAGTTAGGGAGAAAGGAGGGCAGGTAATCAGAGGAAAGAGACAAATTAGAAAACTTCTGGTAATTCATAAGTATTAAATGTGAAGTCCAAAAAAAACTCCCACTGGTCCACCGCTTCAAGTGTTAGTTAATATGAAGTCTAATTATTTTTGCAGTTTGGTATTTTTATTAAACGTGCACTGAAATATGAAACTTCCAGCTAATAGAACACATGTGTAGGTAGAAAGTGTTCTTTTTGGCATGATTTCATTCGTTCCACGAACAATGATGCCAGAAAAACAAGATTTAAATTCAGTGCAACTACCAGGACAGACAATTCAAGGGGGCAGGGGGGGCCAGGAAGAAGTTAAAATCAACAACTGGCAGCACTATGCAGAGCAGCTAGTATTTATCACTAGTATTAAGAGGCTTAAAATGCATCTATCACCTTGGAAATTTTACTGATAAACTGTCACAGCAGATTTATGCCTTTTTTGCTTTAGTTCACCCGACGTTAACAGCTCTATGCTTTGCAGTCTCAGCTTCTTGCAAAGTTTTTACTTGGGACTCCGAGCGAAAGGCTGCACCAGGCAGCAGCACTGAGCCTCATCCGAGCAGAGAGAACACCCAACATCTGGGAAGTGTACAGGAACATGTGGGAAACAGCAGCATGAGATGAATTTTCAAAGGGAATATTTAGTAGTCAAGCTAAGATCTAATACCAATAATAAGGATATATTAGTCAGCTAAGGATATTCAATAACTGAAGTCTTGAAAGTGTCACACTATTCGCTTTCCTTATTATCAATATTCTTCAGCGTCCCTTGGCAACGTGCATTAAAGCTCAAAACATGGAAGAAAAGGCCACTCTCCTGAAAAGTAATGGCCAGGTGGGAAAACTGCAGAAGTTTCTTTGATCACAGGTCATGTGCAGATGATTGCAAGCTACTGGATTGTTATGACTTACATTACCACTGAACCGTATCGTATGACAGGTTTTTGTACTCTTATCCCGCTACGAGTGCCAAGGAAAATGTATTAGTTTCAACTTCCATTCTTAAACCACAAACATAGTTTAGTTGAACTCATTTTCCTTTGCAGTTTTTATGAGCTAATAGCTCAAAAAATGGTCGCTTAACACAGATCAGCTGATGAGCAGAAGCCAGATCAGCCACAGACCTCCCCTCTACCCCCTGGCGCAACACGCGCTCCGGGCTGCTGCAAGGAATCATGTGAGTGCTGCTCACCCACTTCGGTGCAAAACAGGCTCACGTGGCTTAAAGTGCTGATGAAAGTTTCAATACCTAATGCAGAACGGAGCGAAAAATCCCCTAAATATTTGCTTGCTCCTATTTTTTGGTCCGCTGGAAAACGGTTAAGCAGCAAATACTTTTGGAGGAGCTTGAATTTGCGGATGCCAGCTGAAGTGTGACGGCGCCCGGCTGCTGATGCTCTAGAGACATCTAGTTTCTCTTTTGCACCAAAATGCAGCTGAGTGCATTTTGAAAATGAAAAAAAAACAAACAAACAACAAACAATGCAGCATTTTACCATTTTTTTTCAAGAAAAGTTTAAAAACAGGGCCCAGAGTACAGTTAGTGAAAAAACAAATACAAAACCGGATGCTAAACTGATTTCCTACATACACATTTATAGCCACAGCCACTTAGATGGAACCAAGATTACCCCAAATATGGTATATAATAGTGCAGATGCCTTCATATAGATAAGCTGATGTTGATTTCAACAACAAAAGAAAGAAAAATTGATTAAATCATGGTTTTCTTCCCTCTTTGGGTGTGCTCTCCCCCACTTCAACAAACACATATCACGTCTCCATATATACGACAGACACATGTACACACACACTTACAAAAACATATTTTTAGAACACCTTTCTTCCAGTTTAGCCTTTTTCTGCATATACTAAAGCAACTTCTCAGATGATCAGCAAGACCCCACTTACAGGCATTTAGAGTTTGCAAGTTTTTTATTCCTCTAGAGTTCACAGGTTTCACTCCATGGCTATTTTAGCACGAGACACAGCTGAATGCTACTGTTCTACAAAAGGACTTACCTCTCCCTGCCTGACATAGGGGGTTTCAAGAAAAGGTCATCCAACCATTCCCCTTAAAACCAGCATGAACTCACAACAATATTTTAAATTACATTCCTGGGTTTTACTTAAGAAAAAGAGATGTAATTTGTGAAATACTTGTTATAAATATATATTTCAAGGGGAAAAAAAATTGTACTAGGCTATAATTGAAAAAACATAACTTAAGGTACGTGCCACATTCGGAGAGACGTAACACCACTCGATATTACTCTTTTAAGAAGATGCAATTTGGACTGCAGTATTTCACAAAGAAGGAAAAAAGAATAAATACTAAACCAAAAGTTCTGACATGTCTCCAAAAAAAAATCCCCTTTCCTAGTCTCACTTCTGCAAAAGTACTCCTGATCAAAGTCTCAGTAAAGAACACCTAAATTGTTTTTTTAATTTTTATTTTTTAAATGCAAGTTAGATTGCTTCCTCACACAAATACACCATGTGGTCAAAAGTTCAGAGTACTGGTAGCTTTCAAGGCCTTTTGAGTTCAAGAACCTTCACGATATGAGCCTTCAATTCAGGGCAGTATTCAAAGCCATATGTCTCAATTTATTAATATTCAACAGGAACAAAAAAAATTCATAACACATTTATTCGAGTGGCCTGGCTAGAAAACTTCTCGCAGGAGTATTTTTGTGCTGTGAATATTTTAATACAGCTCAACATTTAGTAAAGTGTGTCTGAGATCAAATGTTAGCAATTTTGCTGACACCTGACAAGGAACTCTGCTAATTTAATCACTTATTGACTCATCACTCAAAGCAAATGCTTCTTTTTCTTACCTCATGTGTGCATAAGCACCTAATAAAGTCATCTTATCAAAAAGAACAAAAGCAGATGTGAAAGATTTGTTTCTCCCAGGACAGCCATATAATAAAAAAATAGCTGCTTAAACCTCAGCAAGAAAGGTTGTTAGGTTTGCACGGACTGCAGTCCACATCTGGCCACAGTGACAGCTGGTAACAGAGGAAAGAACATACCGTACACCCCATAATCAATCCAGTTAGTGAACATGAAAGGGAAGAGGCCAAAGACAAGCAGGTATAAAACAGGGATAAAGCATCTTGCAGGAGCAATGAAATAATCTTGGTCAGATACTTCTGAGCCCACAGACAAAACACTTAGCTTATGTTTGATCACTTTGCAAGTGGTTTACTTAAACAGAAAGACCAGAACAGATTTTGTTCTTTAAAAGGGCCACTAATAACGTGAGATCATTCCAACTGCAACAACGATTTTAAAAGCCAGAAGTCAAATGGTGCTTAAAACTCAGTTCTGTTCCTACCTGCCCATCTTGACCCACGTGAACTTGATGGATCTGCAGGTTTCCCTGTAAAGTAAGAGCATTGACAATAAACACGACTTTGGAATTTGAAAAGTTGCTCTGTCCTGAAAAAGGCCTGTTCCTCATCTCATTAAATGACTTGAATGTTAAGGAAATCTGTTAATTTAGGAAATTCTGCTGAGGGCTATTTTGGCAATGCAGCTACAACTCAACGGTCAGTACTGTAACCACAGAGGATAAACAGACTGAAATGCACGGAGGCTTCTCACCACCAGCACGTTTTGCTTTTTGAAAGTTACTGTATAAGGTACCGTATTTTTATGCAAAGTTTGTTGAGGAAAGATTTTTGGTTTTCCTTATTTATATAAAACGGCAGATTTAAGTCAAACCCTTACTAAACTAGAACAGCAGAATAACACTTTTACATGTACGGAGTCCTATTTACTATCTTGTTTTAAAGTTACTGCCTGAACTAACAGATTTATTTATTTTGTCAAAGTTCAATACCAAAGACCAACATAGTTCTGTTACAGGAATTACATCTATTACAAAAAATTGTCAATAATGTAAAGTATTTTAAAGGAAACTGTAGCTACAAAGTCTAAAAGGGAAAGCAGTATCTTCACAAAATGAAGGGTTTAGTCATATGCTCAGAGATGTCTTTTCAAAAGTACATTTAGATTAAGAAAAAACAGCTTCCCAAACACAGAGACTTACAGGGAAATAGTGTATTTCTTTGAAGAAAAAAATACCGATTCTTTGATTTGATTTGCATGTTTTCTGCATTTTCTCTTACTGGCAGCACTTCCTCTTATTTGAAGCTGTGTACATCGTAATAAATTTAAAACCAGATGTTTTCATCTGTCACGGACAAACGTAGTCCTTAAAAGTCTTCCATACGGGAACTTCGGATGAAGCCAACGGACACCAGCCTCAGGATTAATGACAACCAGTATGTGCTGAATCAATTTTTTCAGTGGCTCTTTACTCAAGAGCTGCTTCAGCTTTATTGTAGAACACTATACCTGCCTTGAGACCCAGAACATTTTAATCCTTTCTTATTTCTCCCTAGGTCTGACAAGCTCTTCAAAGGAGACTGCCTTTTAATGATAATATTTATATACTGTTTATGGTAATATTTATTCTACAGTAGTTCCCTGTGTTAACAGCACTCCTCTGCACCAAAAGTGGTTTTCAGATGTGATTTAGGTGGTACTCTGGAAATGGATTAAATGAACCAACAAGCAGATATTTAACATTGAGTAAAAAAACCCTACAGGGAGATCATACAGATTAGAATTGTAGTTTGTATTTATATTTAACTGTATTTTGCTATTGCTTCTTCATGTAAACAAACTGAACGCACAAGAAATCTTACAGCAGTGCTTGCAGAAGTCTCCATACATTCCCAAACAGCCAACCACAGCACTCTCACTCAGCTAAGTTCAGCTGGATTTAACAGCTGTTCTGCCTGAGCAGGGGAAAAAATAAAAAAAAAAAGTAAAAATTGGAGGATTCAGTACTGGATTTATCCATTTCCACTCTACTGTACTGTTTTTATGTAAAAAAAATATGAAGTGCAAACACTGCAGTGCCAGACTACTTGATCACCACCAGAGAGGTGGTGGATGCTCCATCCCTGGAGACGTTCAAGGCCAGGTTGGACGAGGCCCTGAGCAACCTGATCTAGTTGGAGATATCCCTGTTCCTTGCAGGGGGGTTGGACTAGATGACCTTTGAAGGTCCCTTCCAGCCCTAACCATTCTATGATTCTATGATTCTATGATCAGTAACGAAGGTAAGTTCACTTCACTCTGCGATGTATCTTTACTCGATGGCATCTGAAGGTTTCTCCAACTCCTCTTCAAGAGTTCCCACAATTAAAGACACTGAGTATTCTGAGCACATTTAGTTCATAAACCTCAGTAAAATAATTTCATTTCTCAACGGCGATGCAAGCACCTAAGCTGGTTTCCTATAGTACTCTGTAAGCACTGAATTTCCAACCAAGACCATCAACCATACACAACAATCATTAGTGTAACACACACACACATAGAGCTGACCTGGTTGGTGAAGGAAAAAAAACCACCAAAAAACCCAAAACAAACAAAAAGAAACCCCGAAAAAAAAACAGGGACAGAAACAGCATATTGCATCTACTGCCATAAAGCCCATTTCATCCCAGCTCCACCACATGCTCTCGCTTCTGTCCCCACTGGTCTCTGCAGTGCATCGCAGCGGATCTCAGAGGTACGTGTTCAGAATCGGGGCCCTAAGCACCTGCCAACCAACAGCTGCTCCACGGGCACGCACGCGTTGGGCTCACCTCACTGTCCTGCGTGATCTGGACTTGCTCGCCTTGAGGAACCTGGGCTATGTGGAGATGGCCCTGTGGGATCCGCAACAAAAGAAAACACCAAGGAGCATCAGAAGAAAATCGTAACTAGAGGAAGAAGCCATTACTCTGAATCCAACACAGCTTCATGCACGGAAGCAAGATGCTTGTTCAAGGAAAACCATTAAAGACAGCTTTGAAAAAAATTAAGTGCATCCATATTCCCCCATTTTTTTTGATGCAAAGAATAAGGAGGGTGACTGAAAAAAGAATGGTTCATTGTCACGTCAGAGGAAAGAAAACAGGCATCACAATAAATAACACCGAAGTAGCTTGTTTCTCTATGGACAAAGTATCTGCATTTTTGACTGATGCTCAAAGCCCGGGACTAACTCGCTTTGGCAAGGTTAGCATGTGCCTGAAGCATGAATCCCATGTAAACACCTTGGAAACTCAGTTCTTAAAACGGATGCGCCAAGATCAACTACTCATTGAGAGTGGCTTAAAAACTACCTGTAAGTATCCATGTATCTTGTGGGCAGGGAAACCCTCCACTACATGGGCAGGGAAACCCTCCACTACACCAGGCAACCTGGTGTAGTGGAGGGTGTCCCTGCCCATGGCAGGGGGGTTGGAACTAGAGGATCTTTGAGGTCCCTTCCAACCTGAACCATTCTATGATTCTATGATCTTTGTCCAATCACGTAGTTATGGTGAGTACAGCACCATGCTACTCTCTCGAGCTACTACAAATTGGCACGAAGTCATTAATTTGAACACAGTTACACCAGTTTGCGTTAGTGGCAAACCTGCCCTGACAGCTTTAATAACATTAATACTTTGTACTGCTTTGCTGACCATAGCCACCACTTGAGAACGGTATCAAGCCTGCCATTTGATCAAAACATGGATAAGAGAGCGGACGGAATTCCTTGTGCATCCTGACTAGCCCAGCAAAGTCTTTGCTACTGTGATTTACCTGAAAGGAGATTGGATTCTAAATAACCTACTTCAGGGTTTATAAGGCTTTGTGTTCATTTTAATATGCCTGCATGAGAGACAGATTAAAGATAATCATTTGGAATTCTGTCAAAGGCTCTTCTTATTTTATAACACAAGAACAATTGCATGTGATTTTCAAAGAAACACAGATCCCTCTATTTCAAACAGTTTCATTTCCTTTGGAAGGAAACTGCCTATTTATAGGGAGAAAAAACATACTGAAAGTATCACTCTGACAATAGGGACTGTATATAAAATTAGAGCCCAGCCCAGCCCACGTTGAGATTAGAATCACTTTCCCTCCTTAACACCAAGCTCTCAGGGCTCCCAGGAAAAAGCACCGAACATTTAAAAGATCCATTTATAGTGTTTTCAAATATAAGAATCCTTTCTGACTAAAGGGAGGGGGGAGGAGGTGACTTTATTCACCTTTGTATCCTACATCATTCAAAAAAAGAACTGCTCGCTCATCTTTGCCAGATACATAACTGGCCTTCAAGGACAGTCCTTTCAGTTTGTCCACAAATTCAATCCAATACTTATTTTTTAAAAACATATATAGCATAAACAACTACTACCTTACTATTGACTCTGATCTATACGTATCATTCCCTAGAACTGAAAAAGCAACACCATTTTCATCTGTTTCAACCCAGGACCTCTGTACATGCTGGGCAAATTATGAAGACACTTAGAGTGGTTGTAGGTAGTAGTGGATTTTTCCCAGATTCCACAACCAATTTAAACTATAGGTGACAGGTTCAGATCTTTTGAGGCAAACTTTCATCCTTTACATCTATAAACATAACTGGTTTGTCTATTATACCCATGTATTTAATTTAATTTTCTCTGCTATCTTGTCTTGAAGACTTGAAAAATACATTTTGGTCATCAGTTAAATCTCAAAAAGATCTACACAGCAGTAAAGAAGAAGATATGGTCTTTAAAAAACACAGGGAAATCAAGACACAAAGAGATTCACACAACAATGCTGCGAAGTTATGGCAAAACTGAAACAGAAATGGAACTTTTGCACCCAGTTCCTGCAGAAAAGGCATTATTTCACCGAGGATGCTCTCAGCTGACAGAAGGGAAAAAAAGTTGGCAAGTTATGGAGCTTCTCTTTAGTCCTCTTCCAAGTCTGAGCATAGTAACTGAAAGCATTTAGGACAGGCCCATTAAGCAATCCCTCTCCAGGTTTAGCTCCTCAACTTCCGTTGAAGCCATATGGTACCCAGGCACACAACAGGAAGGGACAAGACCTTTGGGAAAATGAAAGGAGCGGCCCAGAATTTCCAATCCTATCTGAATCTCACCATCACTGGTTCCTAGCATCCTTTACATCCACGCTCCAGCTCTTTCTCTTCCTTTATAAGCAATCTTTCTCACTTTGGAAAAACGTGCTCTCTACTGCAGTTTCCTCTCCACAGCTCTTAGAGTCGCTGTCTGGAGTTCCTCTCCATCACTTCCATCTTAAACCCCCTTCCACGTCCATGCAGTCCATAAAAAAAAAAAATATTCTGGCTAATATTTAATTCCTCCTTTTACACAATGCTTACAGCTCTGCCGGTCACCTTCAACACTGTGCCACACATCTTGAAATTCTCCCCCAATTTCCATGACACTTTTTTCCTCTGATTCTTCTGCTGCTACTCTGGCAAACCTTCAGGTCTTACAGACATGTCTCTTTCGAGAACGCTCCAAAAGCATCTGTCCTTCATTGCCCTTCTTCCTTCATCACATTTCTGAGCGACTGCACCATTTCCACGCTGACAATTTGCAGCTCTACATGACCAGACTTGAGTATTCCCTATGTTGATAGAGAGTTTTTGTTCTTCACGTGTAAATTATCCAACTGGGCAGATTTGCTCTTTTTCTCCTGCACTGCCTCTTCTTACCTGGGGAGAAAATACTACAAATATCTACCAGAGATGCTTCATTATCCTACTTTAGACTCTTCCTTGTAATGGCATTGACTAAAACCTCCAGTACCCAGTGGTCTGGCTGTTGCACAGTTCATCCTGTTGACTAGTATCTCTCAAGAATTCTTGTTTATTTGCCCATTTCCACCTGTTTCTTTAGCAATCATCACGCAGAACGGGTACGTACGTGTCTGTGCACATTTTTTCCTGTTCTGTGCTCATACACTGCCTGGCACATTGGACTACTGGCCCATACTCAGACTTCTGCTTACCTTCAAAACACTAAAACCATCGGTGAAAAAGTTTCCATGTTATATGACATTAAATTCTCGGGTTTCTACCACAAAAGAATACATCTGCAGATATAATTTGCTATTTCTGAACGCTGCACGTCAGAAATGCCACACGATCCATTATTTCATCATTTTCTTTCACTTTTTTTAAAAAATTTGAATGTAAAACAATCTTTGCAGTCAGACTGTGGCACACAGGAACTAAAGCCGAGGTGAGTTTTTTCAGAGTATAAAAATAATCATGGGCTGAGTTATGGTAGGAGTCTCAGGCTTAAAAAAATGTCAATATTTAGGACTTTTACTTATATACATGTATCTAAATGAACACACATGTAAAGGATCCAGCTGACAGATGTTCAAAAACGCCTGAGTATGCAGGGGTTCTAAAATGAAAATAAATAAATGTAGTCTTGATTTGAAGTTCACAGCTAGAAGTACCTCTGAAGCGTAGGTCGTACGCTCAGCAGGTCTGCTCTGACTACAGCAAACGGCCAGGTAGAGACTACTCAATTCTACACGCAGCAATGAACGTGCATTTACTTGCAACAACTGTGTGGGCAAATCCTGCATGAAGACTTTTGCCAAATAACTCTAAAAATTTTCTCATAAGCCTTCAATGTTTACTTTCTGAAAATCATGCTTAAGAAGTGATGACAGGTGACTCTTTCAAGTAACAAATTAACTATCGACTGAAGCAAAGTTTGCAATAATCTAGATTGTTTAAAAGGAGTAATTTAGAAAAAAAAAAATGAGTACATACTACTTGGACTTGTCCATCTTCTCCTATTTGGTGGATCTGAACCTGCTGAGCATTGGCTAGTGCATAGTGGAGTGCCTGTGGCTGGTTCTGCTGGATCTCATTAGAAGCTGAAACCGAACTCTGCGAACCCTCTGAAAAAGAGACAAAAATCCAGCTTTATTAAATATGTATTTCTCATGCCAGTGGCCATGCAACAATGCATACTTGAAAACCACGAAGAACAAATGCAGTCAGTAAGCAGATGCAGATCAGATATTATACATTAATATTCTTATGCACGTTCACTGCTCATCTGTAGATTCGCTACAAATTCCAAAGGAATTCTAAATTTCTCCGTTTGTCTCTGAGAAATCACACGTTCAAAAAGCATCTTTTGAATCTACATTAAAGATTCTGCAACTGTAAAAGCCATATCACAGCAAAACCACATACATTTCCTAAGCAGTTCAAGACTCTTGTGCACCTGCGTAGCTGAGAACTATTTACTGCCACCACCACAAGGATACACTTGGAAAACCATCCCATAAATTGGAGTTATCATATAAATAAAGGGCATCACTCAATTGTTTTCCAAGATCCATCATCTCTAATTCGTACTGACACACATGAGCCTAGAATTTCTTTTTAACCTCAAAAAGGCAGGCTGATTTCTTGACTTAGATGAATTCAAACACCACCTCCCACTGCAAAGGGCCCCTGAAGATGCCCCTACAAAAAGGAAGACCCCCCGGGTGTTATCTTTGGGCAACAGCCACCAGGAGAACCACCACATGATTTCAAGAAAATAACAACTCGCGTTAGAAGCAGACATGTCATAGATTCATCGCTAGGTTCTCCAGCTGCAGGGAAAGGATTCTTGTAAGAGGCAAAAGGCAAGTGAAATGAACTAATTTATTTAATTTTTTTTAACATAAAAGCACTAAAATGTCTTTTTATTTTTTTTGGAAACATGACTTTTTTATGTGTTTGGTGTCAGTGATACTGAGAGACTAATAATGTCAATAATTCTGTACTGAAAAGGCTTGATGGAATACAATGGACGAGACTGCTTATATATATATACGGGTCTTCCTACAGATTAAGGCACCACTAGCAGGTAAATGTATCCCTAGATACCATACATCCTTTTAGGAATCAGGAAAAAAGCTGGGGCTATCGATCAATGACACTTCTGCAGCACGTGTGACAAGTTCAAGAACACACTGCAAGGAAAAACCTTAAAACGTCCCATTCTCCTACTAAGATTCAGCTCAGTCCTAGTTTTCCTCCCTTTTTTTAAAATTTTTTTTCATTTGAGATATCTTGGAGAATGGGACTATCATAAAGGGCTTTTAGAACATAATGTATGTGAAGAAATCCTTTTTACATACAGTATTCCTGTCAACAATTTTAACATTTTTCTTTTGCCATGCCTCAAAATTCATTGAATGAGATCTCTGAAGCATTAAGTGCTTTACAATTTTTCTAAATATTTATTTCTCTGACAATGACTTTTATGCTGCAAAGTAATGTAAAACACATTAACATCTAACATGTAGTGACATTCAATACTATAGGGCTTTCAAGCTGCCCAAGTACCGGAAATTATAAGAAAAATATTTAAGAAACAGCATCATTCCACTTCCATTGTAGATGATTTCCTTACAAGATTTTATGTTTTGCTTAAATAAGCACTGGATGGGCCTCATCCTGCTCAGAGATGACTGATGGCCAATATATTTTGATTTTTAAAATGATGGGTTTTTTTGAACCAACACAGCAGGAAGCCATGTTTCATAAAATTTTAATACCTCTACTTAATACTCGGAGATTTATATCGAAAAAAGAATGTTAGTTTTGCAAGAATGAGCTTTATCCACTCATACAAATATTTTAATGGAAACGTTCTTTAATAAAAATCATCCATTTGGGTTTTTTTCTCATCCTGTCTGCAAATGTTTGTGGAAGAAGATAATTCTGAGGTTTAAGTCTAAACATGGGAACTGGAAACTAACTGGAAACTAATTCAAAACCACCATGCTAGAATTTATTTATTTGTTGAAAAGTTTAGTTGCTTAACAATTCGACTGGACATTTCTAATTCTGTTCAAAATCCGCAAAAACATCACTACAACCAGAACACTTAGGCAGTAGGAGAGGAAAACACGACAAGGACATGTTTTGGCTGCCTATGGGACATACAGCTTTAACACCTTCTAACTGACTAGTGGGAACTGCACAACGTTTAGAATTTGTTAAATCCAGCCCTGTTTCGTGCTGTGCAAGCCCAGTATTCCCTGCCTGTTGCACAACAGAAGTTTGCTGTGTATGAGAAACTGCACTGCCAACCAAATTTGTTCAAATTCTGATCATAGATCACACCTTCCATCGCAAGTGGCTCTGTCGTGGTCAGGGAAAGTACCAGATGTTCTAGAAAGGTCGTTCTCCTAAACCTCTCTCTACCTTTTCCCTCTCATTTCCGTCACTTCAGTCCTAAAAATATTTTGTGCAATTCACTTTCCGTAATTTTTATTGTACAAACAGCATTTTGTTAGGATGTTAAACGGCTAAGAAAGGCCACTGTCATTCATCTCACTTCTTTCAGGCTACCACTACTCCGTTCCGTTGTGATTTTGTCTTTCCATCACACTTCCCAGTCTCCCTCTCTGTAATTTAACAGCTGACCTGAGTTACAACTCAACTCCCAGTCAAACCACAGTGTCCCAACACATACGCCTTCCTTTAGATGTGTGTGTGTGTGTGTGTGTGCACACCTATGCACACATACACGACCTCACACGCTCAAACATACAAGAGTGTAAATGCTCACACACACACAAACAGCAACACTGCACCTGGGACACCAGCAAGGTAAGATGTGTTTTTCTTCCAGATTTAATAACCTCCTAGCAGTACTTCTCCTGTTACACCAACTGCAATTCTGTAGTTCTCAGCAATCATGAAGATGCATTTATTTATTTTCTGATTAAGAAAGTTATACGATAAAAGAGTATCAAAGAAATAAGAGCTACAGCAGATAAAAATACGTATTTACATATCCATTATATGTACACGTTGAAATAAATTTTTAACTGTAAAGTCCAAAAGCCTTTATTTATAAACCATCTTTTGCTTCACAAATGCCAGAAATTATGAAGCTTTTGACAGGTGAGAACAGGAGACAGACTGAATGCAATCCTACTCTACATCTCACATGGTCCCTTAGAAATAGATTTCAGTTTGGCTTCACTGCAGCAACCACAGTTGGGTTTTCTTTCTTTTTTTTGTTGGACTTTGGTGGGTTGTTGTTTTTTTTTTTTTTTCTTCTTAGGCAGAAAGAAAAGAGAGGATTCAACAGTGTCTAAAAACAAAACATCCTTTATAAGTATTGTTTTTCCTCTCTAAATCTCTGACCAGACAAAAGTAGTATTTATCCATTTTTAAACATTCCCCATTAAAAACAAACACAAACATGAATAGCGCACAGCTTGAATAGAGGATATGTCAGCAGTTATAAATCACTATCATGTAAACTATCCAGCCTCCCCTTTCCAACTTTGATATATTGGAGAATCCCTGGCACTGGGAAGCTATACAGCTGAACTCCTGCTTTGAAATTTTCCACTGCACTAGTTAACAAAGGGATACTTTGATAGGAACTCTATGGCTTATGTAGTGCAGCTACTGGGCACATTACCCATGGAATTTCCAAATTCCACCCTCCACTGGATGGAACAGCTTTGGAGCCATCCACGGAATGGAAGGTGCTGCGTGGACCATTCCGCAGGTGATGAAGTTGGGATACAGGGGGGTAAAAAAAAAAAAAAAACTTGATTACTGAAATATTTCTTCAAGTTGTAATTGGACTTTTCACATTTTCCGTTTGTTTATCGCATGAGCTTACGAATCAAAGAAAATTTAGCCTAAGTGACTCCATCTTCTCAGAGAAACGTTCAAGAGTTGGCAAAATCACCCCCACGGAAGCACTTACGTCTGTCGCATCTCTCAAAGCTAATCTTCCTCAGACGTTGCAGAGCAAGATTAGATTTGTCAGACAGATGTAATTTGTAACTGTTTCAAGAATATGCGTGTTTAATTCTCAACCAAGATCTGTTTTAAAATTCCTCACTTCAAAGGCAAAACCTTTGGCGTTTTCTAATTCTTTCCTATTCTTACTTCACATCTATCAGCTGAGCATCTGGCTTCTCATTTTGGGAGGAAATGCAGGAGGATTCTGTAGCCGAGGGAATTCAAGCTTAGTCTCATTACGTGTTATCCAATATTGTCTTCCTTGTGCAGAAGCCTCCAGCCTCGTGCTTCTGCTTACAAACCAGGATGAGTTTTCTTATTTCCTTGACATGTCGTACTGGCAAGGAAAGGTTAACGGGCAGAGGTAGCAAAGCAGTCCTCAAAAACAAAACGCAGGAAAAACACCATTACTGAACAACTAATAGAAATAAAACTGTATACTGAGAACCATTATCTCAACCTGACTCAGTGCTCTAAACCTCCAATTTTGCATAACAGCTCTGAAGATGTGGCTGCACATCCATTTTTCTGTGTGACATCTCGGTACAGGCTGAGCACTTCAGCCCAAATCTACATGTAAATCCCAAAGTCATAGAACTAATTAAAAATTCAAACATGGAAAACTGTGATAACAGCTTTAACAATCTTAAGAGAAATGAAAAGAAAGGGAGAAGGCACTCTTCAATTAATCCTCCTCCCCAAAACCTCATTTCCTACTGTCTTCCCTCCACAGACTGCTGGCGTTTTTAGAAAGAGGATCTATCTAAATTATCATGGCAGCCATGTGTACAGCTCTTGTCAGGAAAAAAAAAAAAAGGCAAGAGAAAAACACACATTAAGGACTGAAGTATTGGCTTCAAGAGCAGAGCAAACCGCTGCAATTAACACCTCAACTCCAACAAAAGGCAACAGCTTCAAACAGAAGGGCCAGATAAACCACGGAAAACCAACTTCTGCCTAAATATAATGGTCTGCTCCAACAGTTTCATGCAACCCATAAATCTGGTGGCCACTGTAGAGCTGCACAGTCAAATAAACGTAGAATAACCTCAATTAATGTATTTGGGGGTGTAGGACAGAGAAGAGACATTCACATTTCCTACCAGCTCCTCCTTAGCCATGT